GCCCAAGATCGGGCAGTGTTTCGTTCTGCTGTGCACAGGGTCGCTATGAGTCAGTACCGACTTGATGGCACCTAACAACAACAACAAGGCTACAGAATGGAGTCCTGGTGTGGTACTGTAGGCTAATGCATCAGACTGCAAAGCTGTTTGAACATCAAGGCCAGTGGTTCAAGCTCACTAGCAACTCCTTGGAAACTCTGTACAGAGTCTCTATGGGTCGGAATCAACTCGATGGCACTTAACAACAACAACAACAAGGCTACAGTATGGTGTTTTCTATACCCTATGCTCCCTAGTAGGACAGGCATGAAAATTACCTTATTTTTGTTGTTTTCCAAGTACCTATCTTGTAGGGAACTCCAGCCTAGGCTCAGAATTTTCTGTGTACATAGTGGGTCAAGTACTAAAAGCCAAGTCCTTTGACCTACCAATCATTCTAGGCACCCACCCTCCCTGACCACCACCTGCCATCTGATTATTCCTCACCAAACACCCCAAGAAACCATTCTTCCCTCAGAAATCCGGGCCCTTCTTCCCACGTTTCCTTTGAGATCTTTGTTATTTCTTCCTCCAAGATAAAAAATTAATGTTCCACCCTAGAACCCCAATTTTGCTGATTTGTTTCTCTTAGTCTTATAGGGTTACCTTGTCCCAGTATAGAGAAGCATCCCTAACTTGCAAGGCAGCTTCAGGAAAACTTTGCTGGGAAGGGGAAGGGGAGGTGTTCTTTCCTCTCCCATTCTGTGTGCAGCCTTCCTTGTAGTTGCTGGACAGATCTGAGCCCTCCCAGAATGACAGCAGTTTGGGTTTGGGCCCCAGAAAGGTGGCTGGCAGCAGAGAAGGCTCCTTTCCTACCACTCCTCTGGGAACGATGAGTAAGAAAGAGCCTGTGAGCAAACTGACCAGTCCCAGCCTGTTTTTATGGAGAAAAATTACTAAGGAAGCATAAGATTTGGATTCCAGTTTTAGTGGTTTGACCTTGACTCATGATGTGCCCTTAGGTAAGCCGTTTGAGCTGGGAGCACTTGTCCAGTAAGCCTTATCTCTGTAAATGAACATTCCTGAAATAAGCCTGCAGAGGAAAGACACAACAGTGACGGTACTGCTTTTAAATGGTCTTGCCTTAATGTGGGTCACTGGTCTATGTCTGTGATGCTCTGTGGTCTGGCTCTACAATGGTGCTTTCTGAGGCCTATCAGAACCTTTGGCTCATTCACTATGGTTTAGAGATTATGGCTTCCAGAGGAGTTGGTGGTGTAGGTGTAAAGGTCAAAGCAGTTGGGGCAAGGCTGTTTTGGCTGTGGGCATGCTAATTCTTGTTGGTGGTATGAAGGGATGGCTGAGATCCTCAGGATGGAAACTGCTGAACCTATTGTAGATTCTGTAGCATCTCGAGGTGCACACACAAGGCCTACCTTCACAGCTATACCCTTCTCCTGCTACCAGGCATTCTCATGTTAAGGAAGGTTGATGGGTACTTTCTTCCTAAACTGTATCATCGATCTCTCCCATCTTTCTGCCTTGGATAATTCTAACCTCAGGCGCATGGCAAAAAAGATGTCTTGGTTTGGAAGCTTTCAGAAAGTCTGTATGCCCTTTTGGCACTGTTTGAGCAAAGTTTATACAATATCTCCTCAGTTTGCCTTCTCAGTCTTCCTGGACTCTTGTCCCACAAGTTTATTAGGATTAAAGGATATAATGTTGGAAGTTCCTAGCCAAGGGAATGAGCTTTCCTAGGCCTCTAATTAATTAATTCTACTCTGTTACATTTCTTCCTAGCATGGGCCTCCTATATGACCAACTCCCCGACTCTCATAGTTATGATTGGCTTGCCAGCCCGAGGCAAAACATATGTGTCCAAGAAACTCACACGTTACCTCAACTGGATTGGAGTGCCCACTAAAGGTAGGTGTGAGTCACTCCTTAGGAAGGGGAATGATCAGTTCCTGGCCTTACAGAACTTTCAGAGGTGTGTTCTCTCTGGCAGCAAGTTTGTGTGGTGCTTTTGGCACAAATAGTGTTTGTTTCTTGATTGGCTAGATGATTCCCTGACCCCAAATTTGTTTCCTCCTGGACTGGCCAGATTGAGATAATGTCTCTGATAGGAATATTAAGAACAAAGTGAGTATAAGAACTGGCATATGCCTGGTTTTAGCAATACCCCTGGGAAAAAGAGTGGCAGAGGAAATGGAAACTCAGACAGCTTAAGACTTGTCGAAGGTTTAATAAGTCAGGGCTGGATCCCAACTACCTTAACTATTCATCTGATATTGTTCCCAACGTAGCAAGAGGCTTTCTTCACCCTGTTGGCAACCAACCATTCAGTCAAGAAGTTCCCTTTAGTGGAGTCATTATATTGTTTCACTACTGAAGGGTTTGGGTTTCTCTTGCAGTGTTTAATCTTGGGGTGTATCGACGCGAAGCAGTCAAGTCCTATAAGTCTTATGACTTCTTCCGGCATGACAATGAGGAGGCCATGAAGATCCGCAAGTAAGTCTTCTTCAAGGCCTGGCCCCCACCAACTCTTTGTTCGTCATCATGGGACCAGATGTAGCAGAGCTTTGTGTTCCTTTCAGTAAACATCTTGTGGGATTTTAAGTGGAAGTTATGTGATGGGCAGGTCACCTTGGGCTTAGGTGGGTAGAGATTGGACTCAGAAAGGTGCCAAGGCTAGCGTGAGAAGATACATACATTGGGGCAGGAGGAGGATCTAAAATAGTATGCAAACCTCAAGGAGGGAGTTGAAAGGTCTAGTTAAGGAAACATTTTATCCAGAGGGAAAAGTAAGTAGGAAGGGATCTGACTCCAGTAGGAATCCTACTGTCTTTGGCTATGATTGAGCTTGCTCCGCTCCTTGTGCTGATTTCATTTGCTCTCCTGGCAGACAGTGTGCTCTGGTCGCTCTGGAAGATGTCAAAGCATATCTCACAGAGGAGAGTGGGCAGATTGCGGTGAGCATTTTATTTGCATCTTTCCCTTCCCCTTCCTGGTCTTCACCCTTTGAGCAACTCCACTGTTCAGACCCACTTTGGGTCCACCTTGGTGGGATCCCATTTCTCTTGTTCTCCTTGGTCTACTGTGTGTACTGTCTTCCCAGGTGTTTGATGCCACCAATACCACCCGGGAGAGAAGAGACATGATCTTGAACTTTGCAAAGGAAAATTCTTTCAAGGTAGGCTCTGACTCCCATGCTGGGGGAGAAGAAATGAGTGGAGTGAAGAATGGGTGTGGGAGATGGGTGGATCTGTTTGATTCTGGTAGGAAAGGATTGGATTGGATAGCAGTTTCTCTTCTCTTAGAGCATACGCCCCAATGAGTGGTTTCTTTCAGGTCTTTTTTCAGACCCTTAGCCTGTATGTCTGAGGCTCTGGGGAAATGGTAAGAGCTATTTTCAAACTGAAGGCCATGCTCATGAAGAAAATCATGGTAGCTGGGGTGAGGTAGGTATGAGCATGCGCTTTTAATGAGCAATCTGACCTGTGGATTGGTAACCTGTTTGTCATTACCTTCTTTCTCCTGGCCAGGTATTCTTTGTGGAATCTGTCTGTGATGACCCTGATGTCATTGCTGCCAACATCCTGGTGAGTGGCACCCTTACATACCACCTCCTCTTCATCCCTTGTACCATGTGTGTGTGTATGTGTGTGTGTGTGTGTGTGGTGGGTGGGGCACAGGTAACTGGGTAATGAAAGAAAGAAAGAACCTGTCTAACATCACAGAGATACCTTTCTTATCTGCCAGAGCACCATGTTTGCACTTTTACACTCTTTCCTTGGGAGAGGAAACAGAGACTTTGGAGAATAAATTAGCTGTAGAATGGAGACCAAAGCCTTGTCCTTGTGTTCGGGGGGTTAGGTGGGTGGTAAGCAGAGGCCTATTTCAGTTATAGCAGCCATGGCACATGCCTTGGGCACCACTCAAAGAGGTCTGTCACTGAGCAGACTGAACAGTTTCTCTTAACATTGCAGTTTGCCTCCTCAGCTGTGACAGATCGGTCAGCAAGTTAAAACTAATACTTTTGTCTTTGAGAGTCTCCATGGGTCAATGCAGATTGTGTGATATTGCTCCACTGAGGTAGAAAGAGAACATGTAGAAAGCAAGGAAGGTGTAATTGCAATTTTCTTGTAGTGCCATCATGTGTTAAGGAAAGGATTAATGAGCTTGACTTGTATTTTTGAGCTGATATTAAGGTTGATAACAACTATAAACAACCTTATAAAGTTAAGTGCCTCAGAAACCCTGTGAAGTGTCACTGTGGGTCAGAACGGATTTGACAGCACTTAACTTATTAAAGTTATTATGGTTGTTATTAAGTGCCGTTGAGTCGGTTCTGACCCACAGCAACCCTGTATAGGGTTTCTGAGGAGCGGTTGGTGAGCTTGAACCACTGACCTTGCAGTTCAAACTGACCTTGCAGTCCAACACATTAACCCACAGCCCCATACCAGGGAGAGATAGCTAAAAGCTGAGGGCTATTTCCAGTGCTTGCCCTTGATGCGGTTTTCTGTAGTGAAGTACATTCTTAGAATGGATCAGACTCTTCTTTATCTGTCAAGGCCCCTTTACAGGGTGGTCACCTGCCCAGCAGTTACCTAATATTCAGACCAGTGCTCTCTGTGTTGAGTTCCTCATGTCTTGTTGAGTCATGGGATAAGAAAGTCCCTATTTGATGGGCTGTTCTGTGCTGAGGAGACATCTGTGCATGGTGGTAATGTCCAAGCAACTTAGAGACTTGGGATCATCTAGGGAAGAGACATCTGGTCCAAGTCAGGCATGTTTCAGGCCAAACACCATATTTTGAGTGGTATTCAGAGACAACAGCATCCCATTCTGTTTCCAGGAACGTACATCAAAGGGTTGGGGCCCAGAACAGCTTCAGCAACACGAGAGCCCCTGCCCTTCAGCCAAGAGCAGACACATGACTCCCCAGTTGTCTCTGTAATCTTGGTACCCAGGGTCACAGGACGGGAGAGGTGATGCTTAACGGATGGGAATTGCCAACACTCCAGTGAAAGGTCACTTTCATGGACTTGTCTTTGTTCCTACCTTTTGTTGGTAGTGGCTGTTTGCAGGAGGACTGTTAAGGTCAGACCTCTGACAAGGCACTTGCTCTTCTCATGGTTTCAGGAGGTAAAGGTGTCGAGCCCTGACTACCCAGAAAGGAACAGGGAGAACGTGATGGAAGACTTCCTGAAAAGAATTGAGTGCTACAAAGTCACCTACCAGCCCCTGGACCCAGATAACTATGATAAGTAAGGTTTAAGGCCATGGCTTGAAGGAGCCTTTATCTGGGAAAAGAACCTTTCTCCTTCTGTCCTCAAACTTCTGACAATGCCGAACACAATGTATATAGTATTCAAGAGAAAAAAAGATACAGGTTTTGTGGCTTTTATTAGGTGTGCATATTATATTTAACACTGAAGATTATCCTATCTTTTAAAAATATAAATAATTCTTCCAGTTTTTCCTCTAGAGCAGAGGTGGGGAACGTTTTTTCTGCCAAAATTTATAATGTCATTCGCCAGCCGTACAAAATTATCTGCTTAAAAATGAGCCTGCTATATTTGGTCAAACATTTAATTAACTCACCCTTTCCTGGTGTGGTGCTGTGGGTTAATGCGCCAGACTGCAAAGCCATTTGAACTGCAAGGTCGGAGGTTCAAACTCACCAGCTGCTCCTTGGAAAACCTGTACAGGGTCGCTGTGGGTCGAGTCAACTCAACGGCATTTAATAACAACAACAACAATGTGATGAAGTCCTGGTGTGGCACTGTGTGTTAATGCGCTGGACTGCAACATCAGTTTGAATTGCAAGGTCGGTGGTTCAAACACAGCAGCCTCTCCTTGGAAACTAGTGCACTGTGAGTTGGAACTGACTCAACGACACTTAACAACAACAAGAGCAATGTGATGGCTAGAGTCCTGGTGTGGCACTGTGGAACAATGTGCTGGATGGCAAGGTCGGTTTGAACCACAATGTCAATGATTCAGACTCACCAGCTGCTCCTTGGAAACCCTATACAAGGGCAGTATGAGTCAGAGCAGACTCAATGGCAGTTAACAACAACATTGTGATGGCTGCAACTGAGGTTGCCTTGGCAGGACCAGACCAAATGATACTGTGGACCTTATACAGCCTGTGGGCCAGATGTTCCCCACACCTGCTCTAGATCACTATTTTTCAACCTCAGTGTTATTGAACAGGGCTGGTTCCTTATTGACAGGGCTTGCACTGTGCATTATAGAACATTTAGCAGCATCTCTGACTTCATGCCACTGTTGTTGTTACGTGCCATCTGGTCAGTTCCAACTCATAGTGACCCTGTATAGGGTTTCAGAAGAGCAGCTGGTGGGTTTGAATTGCTGAGCAAGAAGTCAGTAATCCCCTACCCCCTCAATTGTGACAACCAAAAATGTCACCTTACATTGCCAAATGTGCCCTTGGGGGGAGAAAGTGGATCACCCACTGAGAACCACTACTGTACTTCAGTAGTTCTGAACTAACATATTATAGGACACCCCTTGAGATCTGTCACCATTTTCTAGCCAATATGAAAAGTTTATTATATACTCACCCCACCTTATAAAATACATAAGCATATATGTACTATATACCATATGATATATATGGTATATATAATTATGTATATTCCATATAATGAATATGCATGCATATTACATGTAAAGTCTTTAAGAACATGCCTGGCTCAGAGAAATGTCTAATAACTGCTAGCTATTATTGCTATGACAGTTTCTCTCCATAATGTGGTACAGAATACAGTTGAATTTGCTGTGTGCTAAAGAAAGGTGATACGCGCCTGCAAGCATGTGAGAATGTGGCCATGTATGGGAGCAGGGAGCAGTTGACAGCTTTATTCAAACAAGGGTACAACTGTGCAGGACAGGCAAATGACAAGACAGGTGGGTGTGACGCTCTGTTCAGCAGCTGTTATTGTGGGAGCTTTTCAGTTCCATCAGATGGATTGCCCAGAGTTTCAGCATTTGGAGATGGTCTGCTGACATAGAGGTTGAAACCACTGCCCTAGGTATGACACAGTAGCATATTCTTCAGTGAGCCCAAAGTCCTGCACAGAAAAAATTCACATCTATCAAGTGTTTGTAGATGCTCTGTCTCGTTGTAGGGTCGTTTGTATGATTCTACCTTTTTTTTTTTTTTTTCTATTTTGACTCTTTTCTGTTAATCAGCATTTCTACTTTTATGAAGAGAAAAATTACATTATGGTCCCAAAGTAAATGTTCTATGGAAGTACCTTGGAGAAAAGTTTGATCGGGTACATGCAGGGAATATACCTACCTGTTTGTGGCTCTGCCAACTCTTGCCCTCATTTCATTGCTGGTGGTACCATATTTCAGCCAGATCTTGACCACCTTGGAGGGGAATTGTGCATTTCAACCAATTTCAGGGTGAGCAAAGTTTTCAGGCCAAAGCTTGCCTGGCCTTTTACAAGAACCCTGAATTGTGTATTTCACATTTATCCATATTGCCTGGTACAATATGGGCCCTGAGTATGTAGTACTGACTTAACAAACGTTCAGGAAATTTGACTGAATTGTAGTCTTGAAGAGTAACCCATCATTTTTGTAAGAACAGAGTAGAGGAAGCAGAACACTGTTACAAGCCTACAAGTAACTATTGAAACCCTTTCCTCCTACCATGATCCTCACACAATTAGGAAGTGGTAAAGTAGGAACTGAGGAGTCCTTGGGTGGTGCAAATGGCTAAGTGCTTAACGATGAGCCAAAAGGTTGGTGATTTGAATCCAACCAGAGGTGCCTGGGAAGACAGGCTTGGCCATCTGCTTCTGAAAGGTCACGGCCCTGAAAACCTTGTGGAGCTGCCATGATTCAGAATCAACTCTCTGACTGCTTACAGCAGCTTATTTTATCCTCAGATTTCTATACTTTGGGTGTTCACTACCCTCTGCTCTTCCCAGGGATCTTTCTTTCATCAAGGTGATAAATGTGGGCCAGCGATTTTTAGTGAACCGAGTCCAGGACTACATCCAGAGCAAGATTGTCTACTACCTCATGAATATCCACGTGCAGCCTCGCACCATTTACCTCTGCCGGCATGGCGAGAGCGAGTTCAACCTCTTGGGGAAGATCGGGGGTGACTCAGGTCTGTCGGCGCGGGGAAAGCAGGTGAGTAGTTACCCAGCAGGTGGGATTATCTAGGCTTAGCTCATGGTAGAAGCCATCTCTTTTATCCCCTTGATTCTCAAATCCCATAGACTGTGGGTTCAGGTATTAAAGAAAATGCTAAAGATGTTTTCCTTGCTCACAGACCCTAGCTCTATATTAAACTCTGGGTAAACTGGCACCAATTCTATTGAGATCATTCAGGTATTTAGTGGGTATTCCTCCGCACAGTACAGGGTGATCTAGTTGAAGTTAATTTCCTCTTACGTTTATGATAACTATCTATGTAGCACTTCACAGAACTTGACTGGGACCCCACAGGTTTTCCTTTGTAGCAGCATTTGCAGCTGTCTGTGTACATGTGTTTTCTTTCTTTTTAAAAATGTCTGTTTTCACACTCCAGTTTGCCCAGGTACTAAGGAAGTTTCTTGAGGAACAGGAGATTGTGGACCTCAAAGTGTGGACGAGCCAATTGAAGAGGACAATCCAGACTGCTGAATCTCTGGGGGTGACCTATGAGCAGTGGAAGATTCTGAATGAGATTGATGCTGTGAGTAGGAAGCTCCCAGGACTGAGAAGTCAGTAAGAATCTCCTAGTTAGACAAGAACAGGACCGCTATGAGTCAGAACTGACTCTCTGGACCACAGCACAACAACTTTCACGCAAAATGGAGCCTTGCTGGTGCTGTGGGTTGGGTGTTGGATTGTTTACTGCAAGGTTGTTGGCAATTCAAACCTGTTGTTCCATGAAAGAAAGATGAGGCCGTCTGTGCCCCTAAAGATGTGCAGACTGAGAATCCATATACAAGGTCGCTGTGAGTCAGAATGAACTCGATGGCAGTGGGTTTGGTTTGGTTCATTCAGGCAAGAACTCTCAGAATCAACAGTTTAGGGAGTTCTGGAGTCCTGGTGTGGCAATGAGTAAATGCGCCAGACTGCAAAGCCACTTAAACTGTAAGGTCTACAGTTCAAGCTCACCAGCTGCTCCTTGGAAACCCTATAGAGGGTCGCTGTGGGTCGGAACTGACTCGATGGCACTTAACAACAACAACAACATCTAGGAAATGAATGAGCCCTGGTAGTGTAGTGGTTACGAGTCGGGCTGCTAACCTCAAGGTCAGCAGTTCGAAACTACCAGCAGTTCTTTGAGAGAAAGATGAGGCTTTCTGCTCCGGTGAAGATTTATAGCCTCGGAAACCCTGTGCAGGAACTGAGACTCCACAGCACATGACCACCGCCATCTAGAAAATGAGAACCACCTGGTTTCAAGTTGGACTCTAGGGCCAGTGCGAGCATTGGGGGAATGAAGTGGGAATAATACTCTCCTATCATTGGGGTTTCCTGTCTACTTCTAGAGCTTGTGCCAAAGATGACACCTAACCCAGTTTTCACCCAATCACTCTGGTATCTAAATAGAGTGCGGCTACCAAGGACTCTCTCTGTTCCTTTGTATATTAGCTAACAGTTCATGTCTTTAATTCCTACTTAGATCACTTGGTCAGCTATTCTGCAAAAGTCCTTTCCAAAATGTTTCTTGTCTTTCTCCGTCCTTGAACTCAAGAACAGACATTTCTGTATTTTCTTCCTCTCTTTCATTTTCCTCTACTTCAAAAGTCTCCAGCCCCTGCAGCTCCGCAACCCTCCACCCTGCCCCTTTGCTTACCCTATTCTGGCCCCAGCTTTCTGGTCTTTGGATCCTTCTGACTTCTCTTGACCTTTAAGTTCCCCACAGTAGGAGGAGACAGTGGCCACTTAAGCTAGCGAAGCCACCAGCTCCTCTCTGCAGTGGCCCTCACCCCGTGAGTCCCAGACACCCTCCTGGCCAGTCATTTGCAATATCTGAAAGGACTCAACACAGTACCTGTCACATAGTAAGAAACTAGTATTCTTCAGTGTCATCTTTATCCTTATTTGGGATGGGGTTAGAGTCGACCTGTCTCCCTCCTCAAGCTCTTGTGACTCCTTGTAGGGTGTGTGCGAGGAGATGACCTACGCGGAGATCGAGGAGCAGTACCCAGAAGAGTTTGCACTTCGAGATCAAGAGAAATACCTGTACCGATACCCTGGTGGGGAGGTGAGACTCCTCACCTGGTGCAAGTGCCCCACTTTTTTTGCTGAGGACTTAACTTTCACTCAGGGGAAGGATTGAATGCAGTTTTGGGGACCCCAAAAGGGTAGCGTAGAGGTCATTTTGTTTATTCTTCTGCCTTTGGGTTATCTGTGTTGAATCAACATAAGCAGTCAAATGTCTTATGAAGCTAAGATCTCCAGGGAAAAGGGTGACAAGTTTCAGTGAACATGTACTTGGTGCTGAGATGTGGAAGAAACAACATGATCTTTTTTTAATGATTATATTTAAATTTTAATACAATGGGGCTTCAAAAAGTTAATGGGAAAAAATGGAATGAAACAATAATGGAATTTTTCCTCGAAACTTTTGAAGCCTGTTCATCTGTATCTATAAATGATAGGAAATAAGTCGTTTTAACCATTTTTTAAAATGTTTTATTGTGAATTATGTGCTAGTTTACATGGGAGAACATTAGTTTTACATTCATCCTATCATATATCATTTCATTGCTATGGTTACAATCCCCTCCATGCACCATCAACCAACCAAAGGGTATACCCTGCAAGCCTGCCCCCTGTCATCAGCACACAGCCCCTCTCCCTCTCTAGGTCTAAAGTCCCTTACTGCTCCATCGCTCCACGTCATTGTCTCTGCCTCCATCTCAGGCATCACTGTTTCTCTGGGTAGGGTCCCGCTCTCTGCTCGTCTCCCTTGATGGTCCCAGGGACCTCCACTCCTAGACTGCAGAGTTAATTACTCCCCTCCTTGCTACAAAACATCTACCTTTACATGTCCAACCCTCACAAGCAGTCCTGATAACAATAACTCATTATTGTATCATAAGAGACCCATCCACATTTCAGTTCATCAGTCCTGCCTGGACAGATTGGATACTACTCAGTGGAGATTCTACCTTCCTTCACCCCCTCTGAATCTAGGTTCCCCCTTGAAAGCTTGTAAGCCAATCACTTCTTGCCTTTGTAGCCCCCCCATTTTGGGTAGCCAATGTCCAAGTTGCCCATCCCTGTCTACTCTGTGTATGGAGTGGGTGGGAATGATCCTTGCTGTAAGGATTTGTTCCCTCTTTTGAGCTACTGCATCCATAGGTGTAGGTCAGGTTCATCAAATTGCATCGGATTACTCTTTTTTTCCTCTTCTTTCTTCTTCTGGTTGAGCTCTGATCATCTAGTCATTGAAGCCAGGTTTTAACCATTTTTAAGCGGGCAATTCAATGGCATTATTTCCACAGTGTTGTGTGTCCAGCACCACTATTGGTTTCCAAAATGGTTTCATCACTGTAACCAGAAATCAACACCATCTTTTCTTCTCACATCTCATTCTCTTTATTCCACCCCCACCTGACATAATATATTCACTGAGTAAAACTATCATTTTTTTAGTGGGGTTTTTGTTGCTGGTCTAAATGGCTTCATACTCTAGGGATATAAAAGGCAAAAGTATATAAAACATAATTGCTGAGGTCCAGGAAACCACCTGGGGCCTCTTATTGCCTTACAAAAGGTGCGGTGGCTCCGTAAGATAAATACTGCTTTGCCAACCACAAGGGCTGTGGCTCCAGCCTGCCAGCCACTCGGCAGGAGAAAGATGAGGCTTTCCACTCCCAAAAATCTATGGGAGGAATAAAACGAATCGGTTGAGTTCAGACTTCCTCTTTGTGTGTGTGTGTGTGTGTGTGTCTTATGTAAGTATGTATGTGTTTATTTACTTTGGTGAAAATATGCCATTTCAGTCCTTTCAGTGTGCACAGTTCAGTGATATTGACTACATTCTTCATTTTGTGCCACCATCCTCATTAGCTTTTATTTTTTTAAGTTTTTATTGTGAATTGAGTGATATTTTACATGGGAGAACATCAGCTTTACACTCATTCTCATTATCCTTGACAAGTGGCTGTTGACAGTTTGATTCCCCATAGATCAGTCTTTAAGAGCACACTGCTTAATAAGTTATCATTTGTTTAAAAGAAGACTTTAGGGGGTAGTTTTGGATTAAGGTTTAAAGGTTATCTTTCTCAGGGCCATCATTGTGAAGTTGTTTGTTCATCCAGCCATAAAGGCTCCAGGAAGTCTGACCGATAATTTCCTTCATTGGAGTCTTACTTTTGAAAGGTTTAAGTATTTTCAGAAGCTTAAAGGCTGGTGGTGGTTGGGGTTAGCACCTCTTCCTTCTGTTGCCCAGCCCCTGACTTGCTGCCGTATTGAACCCAGCCTCCTCCCAGCCTGCTCTGCTTCCCCCCACAGTCATATCAGGACCTGGTGCAGCGGCTGGAGCCTGTCACCATGGAGCTGGAGCGTCAGGGCAACGTCCTCGTCATCTCCCATCAGGCTGTCATGCGCTGCCTCCTGGCCTACTTCTTGGATAAGAGTGCAGGTGCTATGTGATACTAGGGATGCATGCATGGGGAGAGGGCAGGACTTGGGGTGACACCAGAATCCCTGGAAACCAGACTGCCCCCTCTTCTACTCAAATTGGAGTACATTCTTCAGGCAGCAGTGTGGGAATCCCAGCAGCCAACGAGTCAACCCATTTACTCTGCTGATACAAAGGCCAACAGTGGAGCAGGGCTGCTGTTGGAGCTCCTTATGCCTGCTTGGCTGATGGACCAGCATTGAGCTGACACTCATGGCAGCATCAGGAAAGTGACTGAACATTCCCAGCTTGTTACTCGGCCACAAGGAGGGGGTAATTTAGAAGCACCTTCATTCTTGGGATCTAGCGTAAAGCAATTGTTTCTGGGTGGAGAAGTATGGAAGTACTACTGCCTTCACATACTTCCCTTCCTGATCTACCCAAGCTACAGGGAAGCTGGCAGATGGCCCAGATTGGCACTGTTGTACCCAAGTGGTCCACAGTCTATCTTTCTATGGGACCCTAGCTGTAGCTCTTAATTCCTCTATATCCCATATGGAAGACTCTGAAATTGACTTATTTTCTTCCTTAACCACACAATAGCTCAGGTGGCTTCTTTGGTAGCCTTTTGGATAATTGTCTGTGGTTTGGAAGGAAAGGGGTGAGTTGTCCAACTACAATGGTGGTCATGGTAAAGAAAACGCATTCTGAGTGCCTTCGATGCTCTTTCCCAATAACTTGACCTTACTCTACAATGCTAAGAGACTTCCCTCACCTGGTCTTTCTGCTTTCAGATGAGCTACCATACTTGAGATGCCCTCTCCACACCATCTTCAAACTTACTCCAGTGGCCTACGGTAACTATGAGAGCCTGGGAAGAGAGTGGGAATTAAGGAAGGGTAGGATATTTAAATTTTTTCTGAAGTTTGTCTAGAAGTTCAGCTTTATCCCCTCTGTATGCCAGGAAGTTTCATCAATGCCATCCATTTTTAAATGGATGTATGAATATATGTAGGAATCCCTAAATACCTTTAGGAGTCCTGGTGTGGTGCTATAGGATAAGCACTGAACTGTTAACCACAAGGTTGGCAGTTCAGACCTACCAGCCACTCCTTGGAAACCCTACACAGGGTTACTATGAGTTAGAATCGACTAGACAGGATTAACAACATATCTGTAGGGTTTGTTTTGCCATACTGAGACTGAAGGATATTTCTCCTAGGCTTTTTTCCTTAAGACCTTTTCTCTCTGTTTCATAGGGTGCAAAGTGGAAACCATTAAGCTGGATGTGGAAGCTGTAAACACTCATCGTGACAAGCCAACTGTGAGTATTTCCCCTAAATGAAGATGCCAGGTTCCCTGCCACCTTGTGTCATTGAACTTTTGACATCAAGCAACTGGGGTTTCTTTCACATACCAAAGAAAAACAGATCCACAGCTAGTGTCCCTATGCAGTCGTCTTGCTTCCAAGAGGAAGAGATGTTGAAGTGACTAGTTTCAGTTAGTTTCTCTCTCATGAGTCTTAACCTGGAAAGTTGGCTCCTGGAAGTCCAATTAAATATGCAAAGTATTTGACTGAAGTGAAATACAGATTCTAACACACACACACACACACACACACACACACACACCCCTTGCAGGAAGTGCTCCCATTACAAAGCAGGGTCCAGAAGAGCCTATGAGGTGGGGTCAAAAGGTTTAGGGTAACTTGTTGGCCTGTCCTTGATAATGTGTGATATTAGATAAGTCTTCCCTTTGAAGTATGATGCTCAACGAGCTTCTCCTTCTAAAAGCCTTTAGCCTTCTGGGATTAGGAGACAGGTCCCATGTCCTATGAGGGACCCTATCTGCAAAGGAACAGGATGCAGTTGTGGTCACAGCATTATTTAATCTTTATGAGTGAACTTTTGGCTTGGCTTTCATTTGTGTGGTATCCCTCCGTTTCCAATCAGAACAACTTCCCCAAGAACCAAACCCCTGTAAGGATGAGAAGGAACAGCTTTACACCTCTGTCCAGTTCGGATACAATAAGGCGCCCGAGAAATTACAGTGTTGGGAGCCGGCCCCTCAAGCCCCTCAGCCCTCTCCGTGCCCTGGACATGCAAGAAGGGGCCGACCAGCCGAAGACCCAAGTCAGCATTCCGGTGGTGTAACTGTGTGTTTCCCTCCAATCCTGGCCTCTCGCCCTCCTCACTAATTACCAAGGAATCATTTAACTTTCAACTCCCAACCCCACACCCCACCCATCATTAATCTTAACACAGAATATGAGGTTGTTTGTTTTCAGACCAACATTAGTTTTTTCCAGTTTGAAACATCTCCCCACACAGGGGCAAGTTAGGACAGGTCCTCAGATGGGGTAGCTTGGTGGAGGAGGGAAAGGGGATACACACTTAGAGGAATGATTGGCCCAGCTGGGGCCGAGGCTTAGCATGCCCCATACTCCAGGTCCTTCCCTCTACTCCCTAGTGTCTAAACTCCGTACTGTCCTTGTGTTGGTGAAGTGGGAATGGGGTGGAAGGGGCCTCATTGTTCTTTCTCTTTTGTTGGTTGCTTGAATGTGTGTTTTACTCACTGTCCTTGCTTGCCTGCTTTCTTCCACCTTGTTTATCTGCCCTTCATATTGTCCATTGTCCTGCATGACATTGTGGTATCTATCTAGAAAGGAAGGGCTGTTGGCTAGAGAGAAACCGAGGCTCAATTAGTGCTCTCTGCAGAGCACCAGGGGAGCCTTTCCTTTCTCTTCTCCCCTCTTCTCAAGCCAGGTCTTCCAAGGGTCATCCCAGGCTACAGAACAGCTGTAGAATGCTCTGGAGCATACACGTGGACAGAGGGTGAGAGTTCTTTCCTCCTTCCATGTCTTGCCTCTTTGCCTGTCTTCCCTTCTTGGCTGAAGCTGGCTTTGAGTATGTGGGAAATATTCTGATTTGTATTTTTACCATGAAGACCCTTGTATAAGGTCTTTTGACTGTTGGGAAGGAGGCTTAGGAGAGGGTGGTGGTCTTGCAAGTCTCTCGCAGTAGGATCTTTACTCCTAGTTTCTTGGCCAGCCACAGAATCCTTTCTGCTAAAGCTAGGGACCTCTGAGTTATGAGAAGGATCCAGTTAGATCCCAGAGTCGCCACTGATGTTTTGCTTGAGGCAGAGAAACATCCACTAAAGCTTTTTGTACTTTTCTAGAGTTTTCTAGCATATTCTCCATCTTAACTGAAATTTTAAAAAGAAATTTACACACTCATCTCTCTCATTGGGGTAGTCTTTTTGGTTCATCAGCAAAACCTTCCCCGTCTTAATTTCCAGAGGAATCCTTGAAACCCTTTAGTGTCTAGTTTTTGACTGTTTGAAGTTATTTCTTCCACTTTTAGCCCTTATTTATTCACTTCCATAATTTCATTTTCTTTGTTGAGGTTAAACCAGAAATATATAGAGCAGGGATTCCCCATACTCCCGTGATGGCTTAAGCCACTCCCTGTTTTGTATGAAAAATGTGTAAATATATGTGATTTGGAGGACAGAACAATTCTAGAGTAATCTCAAGAGATTTTAAAAAGTGATGGGTGACTCCTCTACCCTGGAGTTAAGAAGTTGTTTTTCAGAGATAACCAGAAAGAGCAAGTCAGTGTTTTTCTAAAAGTAGTTATGTTTTTTGTTTGGTAGTAGAGGCCCTTTTGCAGTGGTGGTTCTTACCTGGGAGTGTTTTGTTAGAATCCCCTGTAGAGGGGATGATGTGGTTGAAGGATCAGAGCAGCGCTCCCACCAGAGACGTCTGACCCATCCTTGGATATTAAGACTATACCATCCAATCTGGTGTTTTTTTTTGCTGTTGCTGTTTTGTTTTTTAGTCCACTTTTTGCCTTCAGGGGGCTCTTTCTCTCCCTACATTACCCAAAAAGAGACAGCAATTGCAGTCATGTAGTCAAGCTACAATCACATCCTATAAAATCCCACCATCCAGACAAAAGCCAATACTAGAAAGATGAGGCTTTCTGCTCCTGTAAAGATTTGCAGCCTCAGAAACTCTGGGCAGGGTCACTATGAGTCGGAACCGACTCCACAGTACTTAACAACAACAACATGTACCAGACAGACAGCCAACACCTGCTACAGTTAACTCTGAGTTGAGTAATAAAAAAAGTGAAAAGGGAAGCCCATCTCCTGATCACATCTACCTGGAGGCAACCAGAAAGCATAATAAAACAGCAACATGTTGTTGTTGTTGTTGTTAAGTGTCATCCAGTCGGTTCTGAACCATAGTGACCCTGTGTAGGGTTTCCAAGGATCAGGTGGTGAGCGTGAACTGCTAACCTTGCAGTTCAAATGGGTTTGCAGTCTGGCGCATTAACCCATAGCACCACACCAGGAGTTCAAAACATCAACATACTTTATGTAATTATTGAAATCACAGCTAACTATTGAAGATGCCCAAGAAATAGCTGACCATATCAGCACATGTCTAGACTCCCCTGTAGAATTTCTGAAGCATGCATATGCCTGGGTCCCCCGAGGCTTAGTACTGACTAATCTCTAGGAGTGTGGTCTGGACATATGTGGGTTTAGCTTCCTTGATACTTCTCGTTCATAACCCAGGTTAAGAATTCTACTTTCTGAAGTTGTATAGAACAATACTAAGATTGTAGTTACGTGGAAACCAAGTGTCAACCTAGGAATTCTGAATTCTTCGTGTCTCTATAAGGACAGTTCCTTGGAATGAGATATTTGGAGAAAGCAAATAATAAATGACATAACTCCCTAGAAGGGAAATTCTATGTGTTTTCATCTTTCACTTGTATATTGCAGTGTGATGTGGAACAAATCGCTAAATTAAATAAACATCCTAGGATAATATCTGGGGATTTGAAGCGGTCTGGAGAGAGGTAGTCAGGTGAAACCTTCAGGATGAGGAAGGCCCTCATCCCAGGCTAGCTCCTGACCTTGAGTCCTTGATTCTTAGACCCTAAATTGTACAACATTACCAGTTTCCAAAAGTGGTTTACCTAGATTCTGTTTGAAATTGTGTCCAAGACTTAAAGTAACTTTAAGTTTCTTTTTAGCTATTATAAATGGTGTATTTAATGTCTTTGTGTGTGTTTGGGGGTGGGTGGTGCTAGTAGGGGTACTGGTGGGGAAAGAATTGAAGAAAATGCCCTTTTACTTGAGGACAGATATTTTAGAAACAGCATATAATTTATAATAAATGAGCATGTGCCTAAGAGCAACATGTTAAACCTGTAAGTGCTGACACTGGAGTAAAGTACAGTAGATTAGGTCTTCTGACTTTTCTCAGGTCCTGTGACTGGGAGAGTTGGGACATGGGATTCGGTATGTCAGAATGAGATGTGTGGTTTAGGAGGGAGATGTGACCCTTGTCTTCTGTGATTCCCTTCCCTAACTTTGCTTGGCTGGTGCCATCTTTGGCCTAAATGCTATCAGGTGACAGGAACTGTGAGCTAATCAAAGAGAATAAGGGAACATTTTAATCTAAAGACTTTGGATTTAGACTGTACCTACTCTTACTACTCTTAGTGAGGGGGCATTTCCCAAGCAGTGGTATTTTGTTAGCCTGTTTTAAACCACGGCTTTAGGGGGAGCTCATGACATGCTCTGATAGTGTAGTGGTTACAAATCAGGCTGCTAACCTCAAGGTCAGCAGTTCGAAACTACCAGCCGCTCTGTGAGAGAACGATGAGGCTTTTTGCTCCCATAAAGATTTTCAGCTTCAGAAGCCCTATTCAGGGTCACTATGAGTCATAGCCGACTGACTCCATGGTACTACTACTACATAAGATGCTGATTTGGGTAATCAGCCTTCTGATTACCTTTCCACTCTTCCCCTGTGCTAGTTGGCTTCCTGAAAAAGGTACCCTTACCCTCAGATAATGTTGTCATTGTTGTATGCTACTGACTCAAAGCGACCACGTGTGACACAGTAGAAGTGCCCCCACAGTGTTTTCTTGGCTGTAAACTTTACAGGAGATCACCAGGTCTTTGTCCCATAGAACCCACTTGTCCTGTAGGCTCGAGCTAATAAACCTTTCAGTTAGCAGTTAAGTAATTAACCATTGTGACACCAACCTTGAGAAATTGGAACTTGACAACAGTCACTGCCACATCCACCCATTATGAGGGTGAGATTTCATCATAGAAGCTGCAGCAGGAAGAAGCCAGGAAAATATAGGATTGAGCAGAGTGTTCACTCCAAATCCTAGAAAAGCCCTGTTGCCTGTCTTTTCTGTTCAGTCCTTCTCTTCCCTGCGTCTTCCTTGAACCCATTGGCAGCATCTGCACAATCCGACAAAGAAAGGATGGACTGCAGAAAGCTTTTTGCTAAGGCTTTAAGTTTTGTCATGAGAGAATTAGGTGAAGATTTTGGTGCTTAGTCCACTTGCTATAAAATGGGAAAGGAAAATCCTTATTCTCTTTTCCTTGCTTTCAAACTGAACAAGGAATTCTGTGACAGTCTTGGAACATGAATCTAAAGAGATTAAAGAACTCGTCTCTTTTTCTGCCTCCCGATTCCCCCATTTAGTTCTTAGCTTTAACTGTATTGTCTTCAATGCCCTCTAGGGATGACACCAGAAGTATATCCAGGGATTTAGACTCACAGTGTTCAGAAAACTGTCTCAAGTGGTATCTGTGTACCTACTAGTTAGTTGACTGGCTGACACTTTAATGGTGTCTGTGTGCTGGCCGACTGACAGAATCTCATGGGGTTTGTTGCTGACAGTCTGCCTGTTTTCTGATTGTACCGGTTGGCAGTGATCACACATTGTTGTAATCCTCTGTCTACAACCCATGCTCTATAAAGAAAGGAACTAGACACTCCACAAGTTTGCTTTAGAGGGAAGCAAACATAGCATTTTCAGTTGGCATTTTTAAAAATAACAAGTCGTGATTTTTAGCTGACACAGTGGTTTAGTACGATAAGCACTGGGCTGTTAACTACAAGATCAGTGACTAGCCCACCAGCAGCTCCAGTGGGAAAAGATGAGGCTTTCTGCTTCTGCAAATAATTACAACCTTGGAATCCCTGGAGAGACAGACCCAGTGGCACTTAACAACAACAACTATGGTTGTTAATAGACATTTCTTTTAGAGCTGACTCTCATCATTTTGTACAAAATGAAAGTTGTACTTTATTTGTGTGGTGTTTTGTGAACCCAGCAGAGGGTATGTCTGTTCAAAGCCTGAAACTGTTACCTCTACTTGAAGTCATCTCCTCTAATACCCTACTTCTAGGCAGGACTTCACTTTCGCTGTTCGTTCTGAACTTTCTGTGTCCTTCACCTTTTCCTGGTTATAGAATGGGGCATCCCATTAAATAATATTGCTGTTTATAGTCTGCCATACATTTGGTTTTTGCTCTTAATCTAATAAATAAAAATGCAAAGCAGATTTTGCATTCAAACATTGATCTTAAGAGTTGGTAAAAGCATTTTGCCCAATAGTGTTTTATTGGAGATCTATGACCAATCTTTATCTACTCAGTGTTTTTATATCTCAATTGCTTGTATACATTTTTTTTTTTTTTGTATTGAAATAGCAAGATCAGTTCTTTCTAATGCGGTGATGGTTTTGCTATCAAAAGATTGCTCAGAAGCTGGGCCTTTTTGAGGCAGGTGGGGGAAGGGGGCTGAGCACCACCAGGCCAAGTGGGAATGAACAGAGTTGGGAAGCCAAGAAATCAAGTTCTCCTGTAAAGGTGCCCTAGGTACAGCTCTGTTGAAAGATGGAACACAGTCTTTACCAGCATTCTGATATCATCTGGTGGCACTGATACCATGATATGTCACCCAGATCTATATAAGGCGTTTATAAATGTACTTCAAATGTGTTTTTTTCTCTCTGTGTGTATAGAGTGGGTAAATAAAATTGTTGAGTAACTTTAACCTATCAGAAGGCTTCTGGATTTTTTTTTGTTTTGTATTGTGGGCTGTGTTGCCCTCCTGTAAACACTCCCCACCCTCAGAACTTCGCTTCCTGCTGCACAGCCTCAAGACAGGCCAAAGCGAGTTCCCGGTGTGATTGGAATCCCTTGTGCAGCTGTGGCTCTCTTCCACCACCTTCTGGGGTAGATGGGAATAACAGTACAGAAGGCACAGGAACCTCAGCAGGCTTCTGCGTACCTATTGGTGCCTGTACAAGAATTAAGAAAAAACATTTGACCACGTTCTTCTCTGACTTCCATGTGACTCATATTACCTATTGTAAAGAAAAATTTTGGAAAGAATTTGGAATGCAGTAAGTTGTTTCTTCTAACAAATACCTGCCTGTTTGTAGAATAATGGCATTTATACTGGTGGAATAGTGACATCCCCCCCTGTGCCTTATTCCTCATTTTAACAAGCCCCAGGGAGTGCATTAGAAATGCAAACTCTAGGTGCTATCCCAGATCTGCTGGACCAGAATGTTCATTGTTAACAGAATCACCAGGATCATATAATGCACATTTAACATTTGAGAAGCACTGCTCTGATGGGAAGAATTTATCACACAATCAAACATTAAATCCCAGTTTCTGGGAAGAAATGACTGATTTTGGCATGACCTTCTGGCTGAAGTAACTAATGTGTTCTCTTATTGGTGCCTCAGGAATCCCTTCAACTTCTACCTCAGACGATGGGGCTGTAGCTTGTGGTCCAGGTCTGAATGGAGTACCTAGTCCAGTAAGAGGGACCACAAGGTTGGCTTCTCAGGGAAAAGAGCCTATGGCTGTGTAATTAGAGTTGTTCTGATGGCCAGAGGAAAGGTGTAGCTGCAAGCACACAGTGTGTCATGTCTTTGTGAGGCTGTGGGGTGAGGGGATGGTGGGAGGATGAGGAAGGAGTCTGCTGTACTCATCCTAATTCCTGACTGGCACTAGTGTAATGGCTTTGTGTTTGTTTTTTTTTTCCTCTCTGGCTCCTAGGCAGGGGCTAAGCCAGCCATACAAGGTCACTCCACCTCGGAGCCTCTCACACTGCACTGCTGATGATATGGAGGCTGAGGCCAGATCTCTCCGGGGGACTGGGATCTACTGAAAAGCTTGGGACGTCAACTCCACAGGGGCTAGAACAGGAAGTTAATGGGGGAGTGTACATTTGGGACCACCAGAACGAGGCCTCGAAAAAAACATCACCACGTTTCTTTCCCCCAATGTCTCATGGGAATACCTGTTACACTGAAGAACTTAACCTTCTGGACCTCAAAATTTACAGTTTGAATGAATTCAGTTTTATTTTCTCTTTGTTAGGTTTGGCCTAAATTGGCCAATCTCATTCTGTTGAGGCGTTTTTTATCTTACTCCCTGTGACTGTCTATGCCCTCTGGTAGCTAGCTATTCATTACCTAAAGTGCAAATGTACCTCTTCACATTTAGCTGTTCCCAAGTGAGGACCGAACTCCAGAAAGCCTTTCGTGTAGAGCAAGAGCTGATCTCTACCCTGCACCCATCCCAGACAAGTAGGGTTGAGTTCAACTTACATATATTAGCAGTCACCTTTGGTCACACTGAAAATGAGACAAATTCACTAGGTGAATGAAGAGTATCTGAGACACTGTAGTCTCTAACATTCCTCTTCTGTGGCGATGGAAGAGTGGTAACAATAGCAAACCTTTCATTTAGGAGAGTTTTTCTCATTCTCGGTCCCTTGAGGGCAGGCTATGACTCAAGACTTCCCCCAAATGGGTACCCATCTTCTAAGGTCTCTTTTGTAGCCACTTATACTGTCCTTGGTGCTGAGTGCCTCATAGCTGAAGGGGGTTATGGTTCTCCCAGGTGGCTGGGAATGAGAGCTGGAGAGAAAAGTAGAGTGCTGTGTACATCACTTGAAGAAGTAAAGACGGTCCCTTGGGATTCAGATCCACTAGGGATTTCTTTTTACTTGAAATCAAATGAAGGATGACATGTCCTTCTTCAAGGCCTGTCACTGTGATACTGTCTCTAAGAAAGCCATGACTGTGGACTCAAAACAACCAGTGTCATGTCTGTCTCTTAACTAGTTGTCCCTATTGAGGTCAATTAGTCCCTGGAGTAAAATTGGGGAGCAGCGGAGAACGAAGCCCTCAGTGCATTAGTCATTTGGTTTCCCTTGAAGGAAAACCAAATAATGATTCCCTAGGTCGGTGATTATCAAATAAGTAGATTTGCTACTGGTGTTAAGTGCTGTGGAGTCAGTTCTGACTCATAGCGACCCTGTATGGGGTTTCTGAGCAACACCTAGTGGGTTTGAACCACAGAGCTTTCGGTTAGCAGTGCAGCGCTATCCTACAGGCTTACACCAAAACCCCAAGGAATGTATAGATAGGTCTGTGTAATTGTGGTTTTAATATGTCACTATACCTGAAGGAGGGTGTGGAAGACTCTCTCTGCTAAGCAAAAAAAAAAAAGTATATAATTTCTTCTTTAAGAATAATGTTTGGCTTTTAATTTTTCCCCTCTTACTCAGAGGTCCACTTCCTGGGCAAGAGGGTAAGTAGCAAGACAAGCATTGAAATGCAGCTTTTTCCAGAAGGCCCTTTACACTGTGGATGATAACAGGGCTTTGTTGCCTAAAATGTGATGGGCTGAGCTGCAGGCAGTTCAGCAATCAACTAGGAGCTTATTTTATATACACAAAATTGCCTTCTGACAGACTCCTGCCTTGGCTCTGTAGCGGGTGAGTTTCATCTGGCTACTTGGAGGACGCTTTACTATCATGATTTTGTTCTTGTCTTGTGGTACAGGTTTCTATCTATGTCTAAATACACTGTCTTTTGATTATGTTTTTATGTAGTTATTTATTCCATCCATGAAAGGCATTTTTTTTTTACGTTTCTATATTAGTGTTTGCATGTATTTATTTAGAATGTTGTGTTATTTGTGTTGTCGTTTTTTGGTAGAACTTAAGGTAGATTGAGGCTTAAAGTGTAAGGACCATAGTACAGCTGTAGAAATCCAGAATACAGGTGTCTGTCTTCTAGAAAAGGATGCTTACTATGCTGAGGCACAGTAGTAGACTTCTTTTAAGTATTTTTTGTCTCACTGTTATTTATTTCAAGCATAAACCAAGTGATGCGTTTCTCCAGAGAAAGGTCTGTCTCCTGAAGAGAATAAAACCATGCTCAAAACTGCAAGTAGTATGTATTGCTTTTGTAATAGAAAATGCAATAAATATTTTAAATTTAAAAATACAATTAAATTTTTTAAGTACACACAAAATAAAATCACATTTGGCATATTACACATAACCAAAATATTCATAACCATGGCCAAAAGTGCATTTGAATCTAACTTCTTTAAAATGATTCTCTAATTATTTTACAATACTGCTTCAAAAAGTTCATGGGGAAAAAAAATCCCATGATCTTTTAATTCCATTTTTTCACAAATTTTTTGAAGTCGCTTTGTATATCCCATGAATGGTTTTAAATTGGGTCCTTGTCGAAGGTGCCCTGGTGGCACACTGGGTTAAACATTGAGCTGCTGATAGATGGGTAGTTCAAACCCACCAGCCACTGTAAAGGGTTGTTGTTGTTAGGTGTCATCTAGTTGGTACGAACTCATAGCGACCTTATACAAGGGTTACAGCCTCAGAAACTCTAAGGAGCAGTACTCCTCTGTCTTATAAGGTTGCTATATGAGTCAGAATTCACTCACTAACAGTGGGTCTGGTTTGGGGGGTTGATCTTTATCAAGTACTGTTGTTGAGTGCTGTCCAGTTGGTTCTGATTCATAGTGACCCTGTATAGGATTTCCAAGGAGCGACTGGTAGGTTTGAATTGCGGACCTTGTGGCTAGCGGTCCAATGTTTCTCCTACTGTACTACAATAGGACTCCCAAGTGCTATTGTTGTTGTGAAGTGCCGTCGAGTCAGTTCCAACCCATAGTGACCCTGTATAGGGTTTCCAAGGAGCAGCTTTTGAGCTTGAAGTTCAAACAGCTTTGCAGGGCTTTGCCTTCTGATATATTAACCCACAGCGCCACACCAGGACTTTAGCAGCATTTCAAAATGTTATCAGTGGGACCATTCGTGTCATGCATTAGCCACATTCTACTTTCATTCATTTATTTAAAGCAATATTTAACGAGCAAAAAAATAAAACAAAATTCCTACCCTCTTTTTTTTAGGATCATTGACTTTTTTTTTTTTTAATTTAAGGTTTTTTTTGTGGATTGAGTGAAAGTTTACAGGGCATATCATCAGTTTTACATTCAACAGATCATACACCTTGTTTCATTACAATGATTATAATCCCTTCTATGTACCATCGGTTAACAGTATTTCTCTCTGTCCACTTTAGCTTTTTAAAAACAACCAACCAACCGAAAAAAACCCACTCAGGCATATATAATAATTTACATCTCCAAAGGACACATTCCACAAGTCTGCTCCTGGCCACCAGCTCTTAGTTCTTCTCTTCTTAGTTGATAAATCTAGAGTCCTCAGCCACTCCCCGTCTTCATGCCCCCATCTCTGCCTCCATTTCTGGCACTGCTGCTTCTCTAGATTAGATCCCGAATTCTACTTGTGCGCTTCTCTCTTGTAAAGGTCTTCTGTTTCTGGACTGTAAGATTAACCACTCCCCTGCTTTTGTTACAAAACTTCTACCTTTACAATTGAGACAGTCACAATTAGTCATGATAACAATTATTCACTATTGAATCTTACGGAGTCTTATCCCCATCTCTTTTCACCAGACCCATCTAGACAAGGTGACAACTATTAAGTGGGGACTCTTTCTTTCCCCCCATACTCGTAAAGTAAACTCCATCTTGAAACCTTGTTAGCCAGTCACTTCGTGCCTTTATTGCCCCCTCATTTTAGATAGCCAATGTCTAAGTTGCCAGTCCCTATCTACCCTGTGTACAGAGGGGATAGCGTTGATACTTGTGAAAACTCTATCCCTCTCTGTTGGTATTTAGATTAACTACCGCTCTGAGTATAGGTCAGGTTCATC